CACTTTTTAGACAAAGATTATATAGGCCTATAAAACAAACAATAACACATGTGAGGAACACGCTTCTTAATTCAAACATACGAGACCAAACGGGCAACTCCTGCCGAACAGCAAGATGAGAAGGCAGGAAGGGACAAGAAAACTGGATGAATGGACACGGGGAATCCAGAGTGGAAAGGGGAGGAGTGCTGTCACATTGCGGGGATTGCAACCAATGTTGCAACATAATTTGTGTATAAAATTTTTAATGAGAAACTAACCCGCACTGTAAACTTTGACCTAAAGCACAATAAAATTGTGAAAATAAAAAAAAAGACTTATATACAAAGCAATAAAAATAAAAGAGTCTTAATGTATTTTTGCTTTATAACTCCTCTTTTTGTTTCCTATGTGATTTAAAAGACAACTGCATAAAACAGTAATTATAAATCTATGTTGACGGGCACACAATGTATAAACATATAATCTGTGACACTAAAAGCATAAAGGTGGAGAGTGAAATCATATAGGAGCGCAGTTTTTATATATTATTGAAATTAAGTTGGTATTCATCTGAACTAGATTGTTATAAATTAAAACGTTAATTGTAATCCCCGGGGCAACCACTAACAAAATAACTAAAAAAAATGTATTAAAATAAATGGCAAGGAAATTAAAATAGTACAACAGAAAAAGGAAATAAAAGATTTGAACAACACTATAAACTTATAAGTTCACTATGAGTTGAAATCGACTCAACGGCAATGGGTTTGGTTTCATAAACTTATTAGACGTAACAGATATCTACAGAACACTCTTCTCAAGGGCACCTGGAACATTCTCCACAACAGATTATATGCTAGGCCACAAAACAAGTCTCAGTAAGTTTAAAAAGACTGAAATCATACAAAGCATGTTCTATGACAACAATGGAATGAAATTAGAAATCATAACAGGAGTAAACTTGAAAAACCCTATATACTTGCTTTTCTCGAATTTTGCCAGATATGTACCCTAAATAGTATATTAAAGGTTCTAGCCAGGTCAGTTAGGTAAGAAAAAGAAATAAAAGGCATCCAGATTGGAAATGAAAAGGTAAAACTATGTGTATTTGCAGATGACATACTCTTCTAAACAGGCAGTCCAAGGAATAAAACAACTATTAGCACTAATAAAGAGTTCAGCAAGATTGCTGAAACACAATCAATATACAATCAACTGTATTTCTATACATTAGCAATAAATGATCAGAAAAGGAAATTAAGAAAACAATTCCACTTATAATAACATCGAAAGGAATAAAATGCTTAAGACTTAATATTGTTAAGATGGTAATATTTCCCAAATTGATATACAGATTTAAACAATTGCTATCAAAATTCCAGCTTGCTTTTTTTTTTGCACAAACTGAGAAACTGATCCTAAAATTCATATGGAAATTCAAGGGACTCAGAATAGGCAAAACAATCTTGAAAAAGAAGGACCAAGTAGGAGGACTCACACTTCCAATTCTGAACCTTACTATAAAGCTACAGTAATAGAACTGCCCCATAGGGTTTCCAAGAAGCGGCTGGTGGATTCGAACTACAGACCTTTTGGTTAGCAGCCGAGCTCTTAACCACTGTGCCATCAGGGCTCCAAGACAGTGCAGTACTGGCATAAGGACAGACATGTAGACCAATGGAATAGAAATGAGTATAGAAATAAACCTATACATCCATGGCCAACTGATTTTCAACAAAAATGCCAACACCACTCAATAGGAAAAGAATAGTCTGTTCAACAAACGGTGCTAAAACAACTGGATTTCCACATGCAAAAGAATGAAGCTGGACCCATACCTCATACCATATACAAAAATTAATTCGAAATGGATCAACGACCCTTATATAAGAGCTAAAACCATAACACTCTTAGAAGAAAGCATAGGGGTAAATCTTTTTGACCTAATATTTGGCAACGGTTTCTTAAATATAACACAAAAAGCACAAGTAAAAAATATATATACACATAAGTTGGATTGCATCAAAATTAAAAAATTTATGCAGGAAAGGACACAATCAAGAAAGTGAAAAAATGACACACAGAATTGAGAAAAGTATTTGAAAATCATATATCTGGTAGGGGTCTAGTATCCAGAATACATTAAGAACTCCTATGACTCAAAAACAAAAATACATCTCAGCTTGAAAACGGGCAAAAGAGTTAAATAGACATTTCTCCAAAGAAGACATATAAATGGCCAATAAGTGTGAAAAGCTGCTAGACATCATTAGTAGTAAGGGAAATGCAAAGCAAAATCACAACAAAATTCTACTTCACACCCACTAGAATGGCTATTTTTTAAAAAATGCCAGGTATGTAGACAAACTGGAAGCTTCCTATATTAGGGGTGGGAAGCTAAAATAGTACAGGCACTATAGAACACAGTTTGACAGTTCCTCAAAAAGTGAAACATAAAGTTACCATATGATCCAGGAATTCAACTCCTAAGTATATACCCAAGAGAACTGAAAATATATGTTTACATAAAAACTTGTGCACAAATGTTCATAGCAGTATTATTCATAATAGCCAAAAAGTGGAAACAACCCAAATGTCCATCAATTGATAACTATACAAAATGTGGTACATCCATTCAGTAGAATATAATTCAGCCATAAAAAGGAATGTTACAATACAGATGAACACTAAAAACAACATGCTAAGTTAAAGAAGCCAAACACAAAAGGCCACAAAGTGTATGACTTCATTTACATAAAATTTTATGTGAAACGTCTCCAAAGAGACAGAAAATAGATTAGTTGTTGCTAGGGACTTAGGGTAGAGGAGACTGGGGAAATGACTTAATGGGTTCAGGGTTTGTTTAGAGCAATCAAAAGTAGTGATGGTTGCACAACATTGTGACTATACTAAAAACCACTGAATTCTACACTTTAAAATGATTGATTAATTTTATCTTAAATAGCTAGCTAGCTAGCTAGAGACAGATACATACGTACAGAAAACATTTGTTGTTGTTTTGTTGTTAGGCACCGTCCAGTCAGTTCCAACTCGCAGTGCTCCTATGCACAACAGAACTAAACACTGCCTGGTCCTGCACCATCCTCACAATCACTGCTATGTTTGAGCTCACTGTTGCAGCCACTGTGTCCATCTATCTCACTGAGGGTCTTCCTCTTTCTCACTGACTCTCTACTTTACCAAGCACGATGTCCTTCTCCAGGGACTGGTCCCTCCTGATAAAATGTCCAAAGTACGTGAGACAAAGTCTCATCATTCCCCCCTTCTAAGGAGCATTCTGGCTGTACTTCTTCCAAGACAGATTTGTTCATTCCTCTAATAGTCCATGGTATATTCAATAATCTTCGCCAGCACCATAATTCAAAGGCATCAATTCTTCTTTGGTCTTCCTTATTCATTACCCAGCTTTCACATGCATATGAGGCAACAGAAAATACCATGACTTGGGTCAGGTGCACCTTAGTCCTCAAGTGACATCTTTGCTTTTTTAACACTCTAAAGATATCTTTTGCAGCAGATTTGCCCAATGCTATACATCATTTGATTTCTTGACTGCTGCTTCCATGGGCGTTGACTGCGGATCCAAGTAAAATGAAATCCTTCACAACTTCAATGTACATCAAATATAAAACATAACTGAAAATTACAATACTTCTCAGTTGTAAAGCCATTCCATTATAAACTGAAATGTCAGATGTGTCAAGTCTTTGTAAAGTATGGTTCTGTTCCAAATTTCTAGATCCTCACAATATATATATACAGACACCAATTCATCTTTTATTATGCTTACAACTTATTTTAGGAGCCTAAGATAACAAATGAATTGTTTAACTGCAGTGCAGGGTATATTCAATATTCTTCATCCACACCATAATTCAAAGGCATCAGTTCTTCTGTCTTCTTTATTCATTGTCCAGCTTTTACATGCATCTGAGGCGACTGAAAATACTATAACTTGGGTCAGGCACACCTTAGTCCTCAAGGTGACATCTTTACTTTTTAACACTTTAAAGAGGTCTTTTGCAGCAGATTTGCCCAATGCAATACGTCATTTGATTTCCTGACTGCTGCTTCCATGGATGTTGATTGTGGATGCAAGTAAAAAGAAATCTTCAACAACTTCAGTATTTTCTTCATTTATCTTGATGTTCCTTATTGGTCCAGTTTTAAGGATGTTTGTTTTCTTTATGTTGAGGTGAAATCCATACTGAAGGCTGTGGTTTTTGATCTTCATCAGTAAGTGCTTCAAGTCCTCTTCACTTTCAGCAAGTAAGGTTGTGTCATCTGCATACTGCAGGTTGTTAATGACTCTTCCTCTAATCCTGATGTGGAATTTTCATCATATAGTCCAGCTTCTTGGATTATTTGCTCAGCATACAGATTTATAAGCATGGTGAAAGGGATACAACCCTGACACACACCTTTCCTGATTTTAAAACATGCAAAATTTTTTAAATTCTATATTGAACACCTGCAAATTCTGACATCTGGGAATCAAAATATCATTGTGTATCAATTGCCTCAAGTCTATAAAAGCCCCAGGATGCATGATAGGAGAAAGAGCATAGCACTTGGAATTGGCCACTGACTGAGAACAGTCAACATCTTTGAGAAGCTATAATTAATGAATATGTAATAAACAAATGTAACTTGAAGTAAAAAGATGAATCACTAAAAATCACTTCCCTCCATTAGAAAGGACAGCGCTGCTTGAATGAATAGCCTCATTAAGTCAGTCAGATATTAAATGTTCCAAAACAGCAATAAAAGGCTCTAAGAGGCTTCATGTTTCCACAATAATAACCATACTACAAAGTCTGAAATACCACAATAAGAGGGTGGAAATTCAAATGATTTCCAGGAAAGAATTATCTTTAAAAGACCTGAATTCAATAAGCTATGTCCACTAGTATTATCAAATCAATACGTATTGATTTTTCCCCTACAATCAACTAATCCCAAAATAAGAGAAGGAAAATAAGAAGAAAGACATTTACCTCTTCTAAGCTAGGGAGCGAAGAAGAAGATACTGTTCGAGATGATAATGGGTGAAATGGCTCTTGACCAACAGCATGTTGATGATTCTGTATTTGCACAAAAGGGTTTTGTGGTGGCCTGTGAGGCAATGGAGGTAGGCCATAGGGAAAGCCCGGCCCCATTAGATGATTCTGTTGTAAGTTAGCAAAAGTCCATGCTCCATCAGGTGCCAGGTACTTCAAGGGAGGAGGAGCAATGTGTTCAGATGGCAAAGAGAAAGGTGAGCTGAATATCTGGGGTGGTAGGCGCTGCGGAAATGCTGCTGCGTTGCTGGCTACTTCAACGTCTCTGTTGTTGTCATTAAAGTTACAAAAGTGGCTACTGTGGTCTGAATTGGATGGGGGTGATGGGACTGCTGGAGGGCTCCTAGTCTGAACTTGTCTATATTGCAAAAGTCTTGATTGAGGTGGTGGCATTTCAGCTAGTTCCCGTGTTTCACTTTGATCACGATTAGACAGTTCTCTGATTAAGTCTTGAAACCTACATAAAGATGATGAAATATGATGAGAAAACAAAAGAATGACTCCATCACATTAAAAAGAGCTTTGCTGGCTACACAGGTGATTTCTATAAGCAAAATCATCATACTTAATTAGAAACTAACATCAACTAATGGAGTTAATCTCAAACATAAGTATTAACGCTCAATAGATGCTGAACTGCAGACACTAAAGAAGTCCAAGCACCTGATCTTTTAAATAATTATATGATTTCTTTCTTTCTCCTTGGTATTAAAAACAACTGCCCTTCTCTCTACATGCCTTTGACAACTGGCAGTTATAAAAGGTCACAATAATGGCGGACCTTATTCAGAAGGGATTAGGAAACACTTCACAGCATTCACATGACACATAAAAACACAGGACCAAACACCCATAAGTACCTGTGGTTATAAGAAGGTAGAATTCTGAGCAACTTGGGGGAAAAATTTTTTTATGATAAATTTCTGATTTTTAACTACTATTTACTCGTGTCCTTATTTATTCTTTCTAAGTATTAATTCTTTCAATAAAAGTACCACTTTACTACTAAGTATGAAAAAAACACACACAGTACTTTCCATATTACTAAAGGGATGGCATGATTCTCTTGCAGAAGAGACCAAAAAACAAGGGACCGAGTTAATTTACATTCCCTAGATGGTCCATGACTTGATGTGTACAAGACTTGCTTCTAAATGAATCCTCTATACTTTAGAGTCCATCAAGGGAGCTTTGTAGCATATGCCTAAAAGGCCAGCATCCAGTTTCTTTGGGGCAATATTTCAACTATATTCAACAAACAGTAGGGGGTCATGTTTCAGAGGCTATTTTGTGACTGCTAAAATACCTTGAGTATGTTGTTTCTGCTTCATCTCCGGCACTGCTGGTGAGCTTCCAGTCTGCTCTCACTGGCGGTGGATGGAATCCAATGGGTGGCTGAGGGAGATGCTGGAGGTGATGGTGATGGTGTGGATATGGAATACTGCCCTGACTGAGATAAGCATTATGCTCGTTCCACTGCTGTAACCGTGCTTGCTGCTGCCTTAATGTTTCCAGAGCTACACTCCCATGTATACGATCTGCAAAAACATATGTGAAAAATTTAAGATTTTAGGCATTTGGGGTTTCAGGTTAGTTTTCTCAAGAGTTTGTACAACCAGAATTTTCTCCATAAGGACAAAGAAATGGATACAATTTGGTTTTGGGAGAAAGTAAATGTTTTCTAAATTTGTGAGAAACTAAAGTTAAGGTAATGATGATGAGTCTTCCTTACCCAGATAATAACGTAACCTGTCATCAGTTGGATACTTGATAGTATATAGCATTTGGAACTAGATTCTGATTATCAAACTAAATGGTTGATTTTTGTTGGCATTACTTTAATAAATGAGTCAATCCTGATCAAAATTAATATTGCATAGTACATGTCATTTGAATTGAACAACCTCTGAAATTTTCAGACTTAGCAGTGACTGTTGTGGAGAATGAAGGGAAAACTTACCTAAAGCCTCCCCTGTAGGTAATCCCGAGGAGTTCTCATCCATGAAATTATTCAGATGTGAAGGAAGAACGGGGCTGGGCTGTGCAATGGCTCTTAGGGGACTGTGGCCTTCTTGCAGCATGGGTGGGGGCTGCTGTTCAGGAATCGCAGCCTCGGCAGGAGACTGTGGTCGATGAGAAACTGCATTATTAAAAAAAGCATTGTTGGGCCCTGGCTGGTATGCAGGAGAGAGTTGAGGTGGTGGCTGCTGAGTCTGCTGATTCAGCTGATTCTGCTGCTGGACTACGTGATTTGGCTGGGGTGGCATCTGATTTGGTTGCTCAGGCAAATTATTCTGCTGCTGATTTAACAAACTGTGCTGCTGCGGAATTGGAAATGGTGGTCTTGGTAGCTGGGGAAGGGGATGAAAATGGCGGTTAGGAATTGCATACTGTGCATGGGGAGCAGGAAGAGGAAGATTTATGTGTCTTGGGTTGAGATTATCTTTGCGATGAAATTTGGTACTGGGATAAACACCTCCAGGACGTGATTCAGGACTTCTGTTGTGTGGATTTGATTCCAAATCAACCTAGAAAAACATAAGAAGTCTTTTTTAACTGCAGAAGATCCAAGTGTAGTGGCTTTCCATCTTTTTTCCACCCCTCACACTTCTAAAGAATAGATAAATTCTTATCAGTAACAGTAGGAGTGCTGGGGGCCCATACTGGCATGGAATAAGGTGATAAATATTTTTTACATTAAGAAAGATGAAACAGAAACAGAAAAAAAAATTAAGTTTGAATTGTAACAAAAGATACTGCCATTGTATTAGCATATTCATTTTAAATTCTTTAGAAACATTATTTTTAATTTCACACTTTCTTCCTTGGAAAGATAACCATTTCTATTTCCTTCTGATATAAATCATTAAAATGTGTTCTTCCCTTCTGATTTTATTGTTTTTATACATTTAATCTATTTCTCCAAATACATCCATATTAATAAAAAAATAAAAATAATATCACCTTTGTGTAAACAGTTTGTCAATTTTTACCATTACATACTGACAGTCAGTCTTTCAAGAAACATTTATTGAGGAACTTACTGAGGTACACCAAGGACATTGTGCCTAGTGCTAGAGATTTGAACACCAATAATAAGACTGAACCTATAACCTAAAGAGCTTAAAGCAGGGGTCGGCAAACTACAACCCCCAGGCCAAGTCTGGCCCAATGAATTTTTTAAATAAAGTTTTACTGGAATATAGCCATGCTCATTCATTTACACTTTGTCTATGGCTGCTTTCACACTACAATGGCAGAGGTGAGTGGCTGCAATACAGATCATACGGCCCACAAAGTCTGAAGATTTACTATTGGGCCCTTCACAGAAGAAGTCTGTTAACCTGGTTTAGAGTCCAGTAGAACTCTGGAGTTAGAGGTACTGTAAGAAAATGTGCTATGAGATTGTAGGGCCTGAGAAAATTAAAGAGGATTCACAGAGGCTATGGCATTTGAGTTGAATCTTGCAGAAACAGCTGAAATTTGCCAGGGAGGGAAGGAATTCTAGACAGAGGTAACAGCTTATACAAGGTTGAGAGTGGAGAAAAACATGGTAGGTTTGAGAGCATGAGACGTTTTGTGTGCACAGAACTATAACTTCACTTGTTTATATTTAGTTTCCCCTACTTGACATTAGATGAAACTAAGAGCTCAATTACACAAGAACCTGAATGATTCAATTTTGAGTATAAACACTTTTTAAATCCTGTAAGCGGTAGTAAACTACCAAAGGTTTTTATGCCCGAGAGTGTTGTCATCCTTTTAAAACACATGCTTGATCTAAGTAGTGACAATGTGAAAAATGAAATACAAGGTAGAAAGAGACAAGATTTCTTTTCCAGATCAGTCAAAACACTCAGTGAGCGGCTCTGGTATATCAAACTCCTTACAAAGTTTGATGCTGAAACAGTCACTGAGGACTCCAAAGTACCTACCTCACCAGTGGCTCTCAAGTTAAGCATGGTGCTAACCGCTCCCAAGGAAACAGAACAAGTAGCCTGTCCCTGCACTGAAGGTGGCGTACACCAGATTTCTACCTAGTGACCAAGCTACTGCAACAAATGACTGGAATGTGCCAACTGTGCCTCAAGTGCATTCTCATATCTAATCCACTGGCCCAAATGGACTGCCATTAAATTAGGACAGGCCAATCAAGTCCTTAAGATTATAGAGTGCATATAAATTGTCTTAAAAAAGTGAGAAGGATGACAACTCTGTCCCAGTTATCCCAAGTGGTTGCAATGTCTACTCTTCAAATGTCTCAGAACGTGACTGAGGTTCTTTATAAATAAAACACTTCCCCCTTAAGGTTCCATCTTTTTAATGACTGAAACCACACCCATCTGGGATATACTTTTCTCCAAAAGAGGCTGCCAATATCTAATTGCATGAAGGAGACCATGATTACATGTCAAGGTTGCTTGTGGATAAGCTGCTGTTTTACTTGCCTCCTTCCCTTCTGACTCTGACATTAACAGGAAGCTAGGCCTATGTCATAAAAATTTAGACCAAGACTGTGATACTCTATGATACTATAGTGGGCTTGTTCGGTAGGCTATGAGTCGACTTGATGGCACCTAACAACACAACAACAGGTAGGCTAGAGGACTGTAAGGCCTGAAGGAGCATGCATCTACTATTATCATAATTAGATCAGAATTAGATTATCCTCTACCACTTTCCTCCTAATACTGAGGTACTGAGTCAAGGAGAGGTAGAAAATCTTTTTTGTTGTTGTTGCTGTTCCTGGGCCTCAGGACAAACCATCAGAGTGGGAAAGAGAATGAAAAGCATCTATCAGGTTACCTAGTTCGCTAGCAGGGAGGGTTCATAACAGAAATTAACAAACAAGAACATGAGTGACACTTAACTATCTTGGCTTCCATTGCTCTGGTAGCATCTAAGTCTCTTCAGGCTGATTTTGCCCCAAGCTGTTTCTAACTATGACTGTTGCTGTTACTGCTGCACTATCCTAACATGCCACTTGGTCTTCCTCGGTGCCCCTCCCCAGATACACACCACTTCTACTTTTATTGCAGCTCCCCTCATACTCTAACAGGAAATTCCTCTGGCTGCCACATTTTCACCACAGCTCCACCAGTGGGTACTGAATCCTTCCAAGTTGTAGAAACTGTGACTCAGAGATGCTTACAGAACATAAGTAACTGGATATAGAGAACAGCTCTCTCTTTTGAGGGCCTCCAGGATTGGTGAGAACATCCATACTGAAGAGGGTGGCACACCCTGGGGGACAATGGAGGTCCTATGCTGGAAACTCTCCCAGGCCTTGCCTGATGGGTCTCTTCACTTGTATTGTTTCTGGTTATAATAAATGGGTAACTGTAAGTATAGACAACAGTCTCCATGAATTTTGTGAGCTGTCACAGAGAATTAACAAACCCACAACGGGCAATGGGACTTTGATTTACCTCAGGGTGTGCAGGCAGTCGTAAGGACAGAGTTCTAACTCATGAGGAACCAGTTTTGGATGGCTGGGTGGCAGAGAAAGGCTGCATGGGCAGCCGATGAAGGACACAGTCCTTCTATCTCGTGACCTAGCCACAGGGGGCTAGAGAGGTCAAGAGGGGCTGCCTGGTCTAAAGTGCAGGGAGTTGTACGGACTCCTGAGCCTACGGCTAGTACCTAACTCTAGGTGGTTAGGATGAAAGCAGAAGTGCCACAGAAGAAGTAGGCTAGCAATGAGGAATGGTGAAGCCTGGGTCCACTTCCAGTTAGAGACTGGATTTATGCTGATCCTTGCCACACAGTTAGTGATAAAGGTGGCGTTTGCCTGCCTTGCCCCATTGGTAGGGCAGTTAGCAACAGTAGCATCACAGATAGAGATTTGGAAGTCACTGTCATGGAATAAGTTACTTCAAATCATGGGACTGGACTAGTTTACAGTAAGAAAGAATAGAAAGAAAAATGAGATGGGACAATGACAGAACTTTGGGAAACCTCAACTTAAGGACTAGGGAGAGATAGGGAGTGGGTGGACAGGAACTCATAAAAGAGATGGAAGATCATGCTAGAGAAGGTATGTAGAAAGTAGAAGTGTTAAAGAAATCCCAAAAACCAAGTGGTCAAGAAGACAGAAGTAGAAAATAGTGCCAAATACCAAAAAAAAAAAAAAAAAGTCAAGTAAGACTACCAACTTCAGAAAAGAAGACAGAAGTAGAAAATAGTGCCAAATACCAAAAAAAGTCAAGTAAGCTACAGACTTCAGAAAACTAAAATGTTTTCATAAGATTTGGTGACTTGGAACTCAATAGTTTCAGTGAAATGTTGAATCCTAATACAAGACTGCATGGGTTAAGGAGCAAATAACAGATGAGGTGGATAGGAGAAATTAGGAAGTAGCTATAAAGGAGATAAAGGTCAAGGAAATTGTCTTTTTATAAAAACAGTCTATCAACCAATTTTAGGGTAGAAGAGATGTAGACACCTTACAGGTTGATTAGGAAGAATCAATAGCAGGAAAGAATCTAAAGATAAATGAGGAAAAGGTACAAGGTCTGTGAGGCGACAGGAAGAGGAAGTATTAGTCTTAATAGGAACTCTTCCTCAGTGACTGGTGATAAAGAAGTAAGGCTGGTAGACGATACAGAAAAAGTAATGCCTCAGGTGATGAATTAATGGGGTAAAATCCTCATGAATTAAGCTTAAGGCAAAGTCATCTCCTGATAATAAGGGTAGTACAAGGTGGAAGGTAATAAAGTTTGAGGAAAACCACTGAAAAAACTGGGCAAAGGGAGCTAAGTACCTGTAAAAGGAATGTAGGGGAGCCCTGCAGGTTCAACCTAAATTAGAAAACAAGATTTTCCAGTGGCACTTATTCAACCAATGATTTAATTTTCTCTACCTGGGTTCACACAAGCACTTAAGCAGAGAAAGTAGATGAATGGACTGATAAAGAGGTAAAGACTTACACAGCAAGTGTGATGAAGAACAATGTGAGGAACTTGAGGAAGTTAAGTCTCTTTTCCTCTCTACTATACCAGCTCTTCTCATTCTGAGGTACATATTCTTCCCAATCTGTAGTTGGGTCTTCATTTACTACATCATCACAGAAAGTCTCTAAATTCAAGTCTAACACTGAATAACAGAATTTGAGAAAAGTATACTAGATAAATGAAATCATGTAGCCAAAGAAAAGGTGGAGGTAAAATGGGCAATACGACCCACCAGAACCTTGTAGGATGATAAACATAAAAATATATGTAAAAAGTAGACTCTTTTCTTTAAAACCTCAAGATTTCAAGATGATCAACCAGACTAAATTCATAAGAAAAGTGCATTCACTAAATGCAAGCAGCGTACCTGTTTTGGTTCTGTAGGCTTTTTCTCTGGTGTTCGAATCTTATTAATTTCAGGCCCAAGATTATTTGTATCAGTTTTACCTAAGGAAATATTTTAAAATCCTTGTAAATTTAACGGATGTGACATTTCCAATAACAATACAATATTAGACAAAAATGCAGAACATTTCAAACATTTTTCACCCATTATTAGGAATTTATATTACTGCTTGAGTTTTGTTCGTAAATTTTCAGAACTCCAGTTTCTCTGCAAGAAGGAAAATTTATAAACGACACAAACCCCACTGATACGGCAAACATTTAATAAGGGAATAACCTTAAAACATCAAATAATACCAAAGGAAATTACCCAATTTCCAGGAACTGACAGCCTCACTTTCTTAGACTAGACATAAAAGGCCTTGGCATTTTTATGTAGTTATACAGGCTCGATACTTTGATCATTTACACATTCAATTAAGCAAAAATCCAAATAATGTGTCAATCCAACTCAGTAAAACAATCTAAACTGAATAAATATATTCTGAAGGGATTTGGTTATATGCTTTAAAAAGTAATAAATATTAAACTAAGTATAAGTGGGTGATAATAGTAGAAGGAACAAAGTCAAGGTTAAAAAAAATCACAATTATACTAGACTTGAATAATGCTATTTCATGAATGTGAAAGGCCTTTAATCTACAAAAACTAACTGCTGGATACTTTAAGTTCCTGAATAAATCCTCAATTTGGGCTCTTAACTCAAAAACATTTTTCTCAGAATGTCACTGGAACTTTGTAATGTGAACTATCAAGCTTTACTACTAAACTCCAAGAGATGAAAAATATAATAATACACTGGATAGGATTAGTGGTAGGTTAGACATTGCAGAAGAAAAACATAGTGAATTTGAAGACACAGTAATAGAAACTACTCAAAATGAAACACAAAGAGAAGAAGGAATTTAAAGAATGAAGAGAGTATCCACGAGCTGCGAGATAACTTTAAGTGACCTAATATATGGGTAATTGGAATTCCTGAAGAATAGGAGAGGGGATGAAACAAAAAGAATATCTGAAAAAATAAAGGCCAATAATTTCCAAACTTGAAAAAAACTATAAACCCACAAATCCAAGAAGATCAATAAACCCCAAACACAAGAAATATGAAGAAAACTATACCAAGGCATATCATAATCAAACTGCTCAAAACCAGTGATGAAAAGAGAATCTTAAAAGCAGTCAGGGGAAAAAGACACATTACTTACAGAAAAACAAAGATAAGGATAACATCAGATTTCTCACTGGAAACAATACAAGTAAGAGAACAGAGAAATGATATCATTAAAGTAAGGAAAGATAAAAACTGTCAACCAAGAATTGTAAACCCTGAAAAAATATCTTTCAAAGATGAAAGTGAAATAAAAACATCCAAAAGCTGAAAGAACTCACCTCCAACTCTCACTACAAGGAATGTTAAAACAAGTCCTTCAGGCAGAAGGAAAATATCAGATGGAAAAATGAATACCATATTTTTATGTAAAAATAGCACACATGTTCTACGTTTTCTTGGCCAAACATGCCCTCCCCCGTGGGGTATTTTCGCAAGGTGTGCTAATTTTAAAAGTCTGCATAGTGTGCTTACAAAAATATCTGCGTTGGGGAGGGCGAGGCTGGCAAAAAAATGTATAACACACACATTATTTACATAAAAACACAATATATGAAAAATGAAGATTTCCAAAAACAGTAACTACATGAGTTCATAAGTTTCTATTTTTTATTTAAAATTCTTTATAAAGATGTGACTTTTTATAATTGGCCTAGTATTGTTTCTAGAGTTTCTGCTCTACCTCCTAGTCTGCTGAATAGTGCCTAGAGTCTGAAAAGCTTGTGAACAGCCATCCGAGATACAATAATTGGTCTCTATTCTCCTGGAGCAGAAGAAGGAAAAAGGAGACCTAAGAATTGGAAAAGGGACTAGACCTTAGGCCTAACTGCCTCCATGAACTACTACCTCCTTTGTCATGAGACCAGAAGAATTGGATGATGCCTGGCTACCATTACTAAACATTTTGATCAAGGACACAACTGATGGATCCTGATCAAAAGGAGCATAATTGTGGAATACAGCTTCAGATTCTTATGAAACCCAGACTTACTGGACCCCCTGAGATTGGGGGAACCCTTGAACCTATTGCCCTGAGATAACAGTTAAACCTTGAACCAAAACTACCCCTCGAACTCATCTTTAAACTCAACAAGAGTTTAGCTCAATTAGTAAAGAATGTTTGCCTCGAACACTGAGACCTTTTAAAGAATTACCTATATGAGACCAAATGGACAACAGTAACTCTAAAGCATAGATGAAACATTTAGGGGGCAGTGAGTCTAAGTTAATGGTGGTGAAACAAAATGGGTAGAGATGGTGAGACTGGTGACACAATATGAAGAATGTAACCAATGTCATTGAACTGTACGTGTAAAAACTGTTGAATGAGTGTATGTTTTGTTGTGTATATTTTCACGAAAAATGAAATTAGAAAAAAAAATAAGCGACCGTTTAAACAAAAATTATAACAATTGCGTTCAAGGTTTATAACATATATAAAAGTTAAATGTATGACAACAGTGTAAAGGCCAGGATAGAAAAAACTGAAATAATGTAAGGTTCTTTTACTATACATTAACTGGTAAAATATCAATTAGAAAGTAGGATGTGAGGAGTTAAAGATATATACTATAACCTTAAACTAACCACTAAAATAACAAAACAGTTTTAGTTAATAAGCCAACAAAGAGATAAAATGGAATCATAAAAAATACTCAATCTAAAAGAAAGCAGAACAAAAGGAAAAGGGAGACAGAAAACAGATGGAACAAATAGAATACAAATAGCAAAAGGACAGACTTAAACCTAACTATATCAATAATCACATTAAATGTAAATGGCTTAAACACCCCAACTGAATGGCACAGAATGTCATACTGGATAAAAGAAATCAACAGCCAACTACATAGTGCCTAAAAGAAATGCACTTTAAATATAAAGACACAAATGGGTTAAAAATAAAAGGACAGAAAAAAATATATCATGCTAACGTTAGTCAAAAGAAAGTTAAAGTGGCTACACTGAAATCAAGCAAAGCAGATCTCAGAGGAAAGAATATTACCAGGGAAAAATAAGGTCATTCCATAATAATAAATGGGTTGATTAATCAAAAGGACATAACAATCCTAGTTATGCATCTAATAATAGAACTTCAAAACTCATGAAGCAAAACTGATAGAACCTGAAGGAGAAACAGACAAATACTAGTTACATTCGGAGATTTCAATACCCGTTTTTCAAGATCTTAAGAGCCAAAATTTAGAAACAAATAATATTTCTATTAATTGATGAATGGATAAACACATTGTGGTAAAACCACACAATGGAATACCATTCAGCAGTAAAAACGAACAACTGACAGATGCAACAACATGGATGAATCTAAAAAGTATTAAGCTAAGTGAAAAAAAGCTAGACACAAAAGGCTATATAGTATATTAATCAATTTATATGACACTCTAGACTAAATGCAAAAGTATAGTGACAGAAATCAGATTAGTGGTTGCCCAGGGCTGGGGCGTTTGTTAGAAGAGGGGATTGACTACAAAGGGGCTTGACGGAACTTTATGAGTGATATATCTTGATTTTGGTGGTAGTTAACATTCTGTATATCTCTCAGAATTCATCAAGCTATACATTTAGAGTAAATTTTTATTGTATATAAATTATAACTCAGTTAACCTGACTTAAAAAAAAAGACTGAAGTTGTCAAGGGTTCATTTTACTTGGACCCACAATCAATGCCCAAGGAAGCAGCAGTCAAGAAATCAAATGACGTATAGCAATGGGCAAAACTTCTGCAAAAGACCTCTTTCAAGGGTTAAAAACCAAAGGTGTCACTTTGAGGACTAATGTGCGCCTGACCCAAGCTGTAGTATTTTCAATCGCCTCATACGTATGCGTGCAAAAGCTGGACAATGCATAAGGAAGACTAAAGAAGAATTGATGCCTTTGAATTATGGTGTTGGCAAAGAATATTGAATATACTGTGGACTGCCAGAAGAAGGAACAAATCTGTCTTGGAAGAAGTATAGCCAGAATGCTCCTTATAAGTAAGGATGGCGAGCCTTTATCTCACATACTTTGGGCATGTTATCAGGAAGAATCAGTCCCTGCAGAAGGACATCAAGCTTGGTAAAGTAAAGGGTCAGTGAAAAAGAAGAAGACCCTCAATGAAATGGATTGATACAGTGGCTGCAACAATGGACTCAAGCATGACTATTATGAAGATGGCACAGGACCGGGCAGTGTTTCGTTCTGTTGTACATAGGGTCACTATGAGTCAGAACAGACTCGATGGCATCTAACATAACAAAAAATGCAGTGAGCAATTTTTTCTTATTAATAATTCTAGCAAATAAGAGATTATGATTTGCGTATGAAATAACTACCTTAAACCAAGTATCTTCATAGTAGCATAATGCTTAGTACACCACAAACATACTTTGGGTCAGCAAAAATGTTTAACAAGAAAGAATTTTCTGTCTTAATTTTAAAGGACTGCTACTTAAATCATTCTGAATATTAAAATTTAATATTTTTTAAAAGGAATCAGTGCTACCAATCATAAGTGGTAGGGTTTAACTTAGGGGACCCTCTGAAATTACATGCAAATTTGTGTCTACATACATATTTGCATCTTCTGGAGAGAGGATCCATAGTTTTTATATCAGATTCCTCTCACAGAGGTTAATTATCCAAGAGAAAGTTAACTATCATACTGTTAAAAGAACTTTATGTTTGGTTAAGACTTGGTGTGCCATCCACTTAGGAATATGAGAACTGCAAAGTAACTCACCATTTCGATTTTGCTCATGTTGATCCTTCTCCTGATGCTGATTTTGTGGCTGCCCTATGCTGACAGGCGGGTGATGTCCAAGGCCATACGGTATAGGAGACCCCCGTCCATGTGTCTGTAACAGGTTCATATTATAGGCCATCGCTGCCTGGTGTGTAATGATTCGAGGATCAACTGCAAACCTTCCCTGGTATCCTGTCCATGGTACCTGTGTTATTACAAAAAAATGATATAATTACGTTAAGTAAACTTTGGAAGACAAACTACTCTAGTACAGTTGATTATGAAAAGGCAAACACAGACACAGATGTTAATTTTATCAAAATACGTAATTACAAAGTTGATCCTAACAATTATAACTGGTAGAATTACTACTATGTCTTTATTAGCCTAAAATGGTTCTTTGAGTGACTTTACTTTAGCGTGTAAAGGAAAATGGACAATTTGTGAGGTCAGAATGAAACTGAAGATTTAAGACTGGTAATTATTCCTTGAGGGATTAAATCATTTTATAGTTTTGAATCATTTCCCCTTAATATGAATGTATATATGTCACGGATTATCATGAAATATATTTTTAAGTCATAATTGCATAGCTGCATAGTTTAATAGACCAAATAAGAGAACAGAAAAAAAAAAATTAAGAAAGAATTTAGTCTCAGGAGTCTCAACTTAAAGAACAGGCACTCCAAATTTATAGAAATAACTAAATCACTTAATATTCATTTATAGTGGGCAAAATTCAGACAGGTAATCACATTAGTTCATGCTTTTTATTAATTCAACTCTACCTTATACCATAGAAACAGAAAGCTTGTTTTGGTGTGCGTAGATAGCTTATCTCTGCATATTAACAGAAAGTGAATAAATGTGATGACATCTGAGCTACTGTCCCTATTATTTTATTGTAATACAACTGTTTAAAGGGCAGACTCTTGGAAATTTTATATAATGAAAGCCTCTTTGACCTAGTAAAATGAAATATAAGTCCTAAGAGACTTACTATTTAAAGCAGATGATGTATAATGTTGCCAGGTTGTCTGGGAAGAAATAACTCAGCTAAAATCTGAAGGCTATGGGGAGTGGGCATAAATGACATATTTCATCCTGACAGTGACTCTCACTGGCTGCTATGACTGTGAACTGTCATGACCAACATGACTGAGAAGTGTTCACAGCTGGCAGTTTTCCATTTGGGTGTAAGGAGGAGTGCCAGAGATCCTTGGCAATGGCCATCATTCCTGAAATTAGAGTAGCTGCCTTAAATGAAAGAAATATTTTATAGGCTAAAATCCATGAATTTGGAATTAGTAAATCAGCAAGTTAACAAAATTATCAAAATATTTTAAAATCTTAAAGGAAATAAAAATGGGCTCGTATTTACTAGACGGACACCCCCTGAAATCTATACTCTTAGAAAGGATTCAATTATGTTTTTAAGTAGCAGTAAGATTTCATAAGGCATGGAATTTCTCAGATAAATTTAGATCCAAGGGAAGTAGACTACTGCAAGCCTCTTGGTCTCCTCCAATGACCTGTATTTCTTAGGAAGGATTACTGACTTACACAAGTATAAAAGGCAAAAGCAAAAATAAACACATCACTTTATAAAACAAGGGACCAATTTTCTAGCAGTTATTAACTTTTAGCCCAATTTTCCCCAATAAAAACATTTTAAAAAATAAAAAGGCTTCTAAATCAAACCATCCAATTTACATATTTCTTCACAGTCACTCATATTCCAGTAATAAACTGTAATCAACAATTCATATTTTTGGTCATTTCAAAACATGAAGGTTAAAAATAAGAGTTGCTTTAAAATTAGGGTATGGGCATTGAAATGTTAAAAAAGAGAGAGAGAGACTGGCAGAACACTATTTGGGATGGTCATTCATTCAGGATTAAGTGAAGCCTATTTTACTTTACTCAACAGAAAGTATCTCAAATATCCACTTACAGGTAAAGGCACCGACATAACTACGTTCCCTCCATAGACAGCAGGTACATAAAGAATACTTGTCCCAGAGTGAGGGTCTATTCTTTGAACAGGGCTTGGAGATTTTCCCAAATTTGGGGGAGGTCCAAGAGTGGGTGGAGGAGTATATGCTCTAATAGGATTGCCAATAAGTACGGAAGGATTGGGCTGAACTGAAAAATAAATAGAAAATAGATGCACTCAATAGCTGTACATATATACCTATACAAAAATAATTTAAATTATCCAATAGCAAAATATATCTCCCAGGTTTGCCATAACAATCTCATAAACAAAGAATTATCAGTGTGGAAGAGTAAAGTATATTAAAAACATAATCATTTTACAATGTTCCCTAAAATTAGCTTGAGATATACAAAGTATTCTTTTTATAAACAAGCATAATTTAAAATGTCCTCTGAGGAGCTAGAGATTTGTTCTTTAGGAGAGAAAAACATGAACACACATACACACTCAATAAATAGTTTTCTGAAACTAGGAAAGCATATACAATTCCTCAGAATAAAGTTCTGACTTACAATTATACTACAGCAAAATACAAAATGAAGGTTAAGTATTAACTATTTTAAAAGTATAATTCTGCAACATTTAAAATCTTTAAAATAAACTATATCTTAAAATTTGCATGACATAACATTTGTAGGATATAAATATTTTCTAGAAACTTGTGTTGCATAAAAGGGTTAAATGATTTTTCTCAAAACTTCTAAATATGCAGCAAGACCTATAAAATCACCCTTTCCAGAAACAACATATCAAAGCATTCACAAGACCAGATGTATTCAGTAAAAGAGCTAATTAGTGAGGTTCCAAGGTGTCTGTTGTGTGTTTGTGACTCTCTCCCCAACCTCCTCCTCTTTGGTGATTTTGGGGCACACTTCTTATATCATGTAAGCAAAATTTCATAGGGCTGATTTTTCCACTTACCAATTCCATCATTCTGGAAATGATCATTCTGGGTATGGTGAAGGACTTTCCCCTTTGAAGAAAAAAACAAATATATATTGACTTTAACATGGTTAGTATTAGAGAACAATAAACATTTTCCAAATTATATGCAAATTTAATGTATACAGCAACAATTAAAATTTTGAGACTGTGAGTCTGTAATAACCACTAGACTCCTTCGAGGAGCCCTTGTGGCGCTGTGGTTAAAGCGCTCAGCCGCCAACCCAAAAGTCGAGGGTTTGTACCCACCAGCCGCTCCGCAGGAGAAAGATGTGGCAGTCTGCTTCCATAAACATTTACAGCCTTGGAAACCCTACAGGGCAGTTCTACACTGTCCTATAGGGTTGCTAGGAGTCGGAATTGACTCAGTGGCAATGAGTTTGTTTTTTTGGTAGACTGCTTTGAGTCAACTTAGGTATTGGTCAATTCAAATCACATTGCTGGGACTCAGGTTTTTCCAGCATCACACTGAGGCCATATAAAAAAAATTTTTTTTTAATGAATTTTCTTGATAAAAAGAAATACTGCAATCAATACGATTGAAACCTAAATTCTATTCCTTTACAAATTCTCTATAGGTTTTTTAGAATTAAATGACAAAACAAAAAAGTTGCTTTTCAAGGGAAAAAAATCAGGTCTTCAATTCTTGAGCATGAGAACCTTTACAACAATAACACAAATATAAACATGGTTTGGGATTTATGATAGTTTGATTATGATTCATGTTATCTTACACTATAAATTTAGTGAAGGAACAAAAAAAGAGAGTGTCATAGTCCGCTTGAGAGATTGTAAAAATTTTCTAGAAAGAAATTTGGTAAGACATATTAAAAGCATCAAAAATGTATGTATACTTTAATGAAATAATCATGGATTTAATTACATAATCGTAGATTTGGGCACAAATGCTCATCACAGCAATGTTTATACATGTCATAAATGTTAACAATCTAAACGTCCACCAATGGAGAAGACTAAATAAACACCAGCAGATTTACACCAGTCCACCATTAAAACTGATGACATTGCTCAACATCATTAGTTATTATAGAAAAGCCAGTCAAAACTACAATGAAATACCACTTCATACCCACAAGGATGGTTACTACAAGACAAACGGAAAGTAACAAATGGTGGTGAGGATGTGAAGAAAATGGAATCGTCATCATTGCTGGTGGGAATGTAAAACGGTACGCAGCCACTGTACAAAACAGTTTGGCAGTTCCTCAGAAAATTAAATACAGAATTACCATATGATCCAGCAATTTCACTCCTAGGTATATTCCCTAAAGACTTGAAAGTAGGGGCCCAAATAGATGCTTATATTTATTTACATAAGCCAAAAAGTAGAAATGACTCAAAATGCAGCATATCTATACAATGGAGTATTATTCAGCCTTAAAGAGAAACGATGTTCTGATACGTGGATGAGCCCTGAAAATACTGTGCTGAGTGAAACAAGTCAGACACAAAAGGATAAATATTGTATGATACCATTTATATGAAATCATCTAGAATAAGGAAATGCACAGAAACAAAAATTTATTAGTGGTTTCAAAGGGCGGGGGGAGGGAGATCCCCAAACCATCAAATCCCTTGCCATTGAGTCAATTCCAACACATAGCGACCCTAAAGGACAGAGCTGAACTGCTCCATAGGGTTTCCAAAGCTGTAATCTTTACCGAAGCAGACTGCCGCATCTTTCTCCCACAAAGCGGCTGGTAGGTTCTAACTGCCGACCTTTCGGTTAAGCAGCCAAGGGCTTCTTAACCACTGCACTACCAGGGCTCCTTGAGGGGAGGGGGAAATGGGGAATTATTGCTTAAGGGTCACTGAGTTTCCATTTAGGGTGATGAAAAACATTTGGAAAAATGGGTAGTGATGATGGTTGCACAACATGGTGAATATAATTTATGTCACTGAATTGTATGCTTATAAATGGTTAAAGTGGCAAAAATGTAGATTTTACCAGGATAAAATTATTTTTTAAAAAACAACGAATTGAAGCAGAAATAATTATTTGAAGAGACAATGGTTGATGATTTTCCACAACTGATGAAAGACACCAAGCTCTATGTATTCCAGGCAGGATAAGAGAAAGACAACTACATTTAGGCACATGATGGGAAAATTGATAAAAATTAGTCCCTGGGTGGCACAAATGGCTAATGCGCTAGGCTGCTAAACAAAAGGTTGCAAGTTCAAGCCCACCCAGAGGCACCTCAGAAGACAGGCTGGCTCATCTGCTTCTGAAAAATCAACACTGAAAACCCAATGAAACACAGTTTACATGGGGTTGCCATATAGACACATTTGGGGTTGCCATGAGAGGGAGTTCACTCAACAGCAACTGGAATGGTTTTTTTTGGTTTTATAAAAATAAAACACTATATACATATATATAACAGCTGCAGAAGAGAGGGGAAAGACTCATCAATTTCAAAGGAGTAGCAATAAGACTGATAGTGACTTCTCAATAAAAATGATGGAAGGCAGAGGCAATGAAGTAACATTCTGAATGCTAAAATAACTTTCAGCTATACCTAGAAAAAAAATATTCTATAACCAGAAAAATATCCTTCAAAAGTGACAGTGAACTTCTTCCCCTTTCCAGTTGAGGGCAGAGGGTGTGTTCTCCAGGGCCAGGGCTGAGAACTCAGCCAGGGACTAATCAGTACGTCACCAGGGCTAGGGCCAGGGGCTCAACTTGGAATGAGGCTGGGGCTTCTACCAAGTGTATTCACCAGGGTTGGGGCCTCAACCAGCGTGTCTAGCAAGATCAGGACCAATAAGGTAGTCATGTGGTAGAAGCCATCAAGGCCCAAGCCAAGGAGATGACCCCATGGTCGGAAGATTTATCACACAGGGGTATTGAGTAAACAGGTAAACATACTAAGATATATTCTCAATATATCTTTCTTTCTCACTATCAGTGAAGGGAATTACCAATATGGAAAGTAGGGAGACTAGAATCAATCCTACAGTATTAGATCAGAATTAGAGATACTAATGTGAACAAACGGTTTTAGATTAGGTAGATAAATACAGAAGATAAAGACGTATATGTAGGTATATAAATACATTATTTCCTAGCTCTGTCCTTCGAAAGGGCATAATAGCAGGATGATACCCCACTACCAATGAGCATATCTAGTACCTAGATCTTGGTTTCTAAATATGATTTTTCCACCAAAATGAATGAAAGATCCTTGACGAAATCATTCATGCTAAGTCTGGGTCAGGAAAAGTGTAAGAGGAATCTGGAATATTTTGTTGTGCTAGAATTTAAGGATTGACCAAAGAATGATTGAGTCATGGCAAAAGGAAACAAAAGCCTGCTTGAGAGGGTACCCACTGGCCAAATCTGGGACAATCTGAACATCAAAATAAATAAATGAAACAATGACAGCAATGGATTAGAACCTATTGAGAATAATAGGAATACATGATGCCATACTGAAACAAATAAATAAAGACGGGAAAGCTCTACCTTACCATAGAATTCCAACTAATAAATGCAGAAGAAATGATAGAAAAATGAGCAGTTTGCAATTATCGTAGTAATAATCAATTCAGTATAGAATCACTAATGGATGCCAAAACCAGTGGATTAATATTTGAAAAACAGGATATTTACAAAGTCTCCAAGTTGCCCTCCTGAAAATACTTATTATTAGTAATAATTTTAGAGTAGAGAAACTTAACAGATACCATCTTAGCCAAGTGATAGAAAGGAACACTCCAGTAAAAGGTTAAATCAACATCAGTGCCTCCCGATGATGCATGTAGAAAAGTACAGCATCACTTCTGTGGTATTCCTACCAAAATTTATGACCTAAATTTAATCATGATACAGTCATATATTCATATAATGAAATGATATACAAAATGTGAACAAGCAATCCACTGTTACATAAACAACACGGAGAAATATCACAAACATAACGTTCAGTAGAAGAAGCCAGGCACAAAAGAACACGTACATTGCTGTTGTTAAGTGCCATTGAGTCAGTTCTGACCCACAGCAACCCTATGTACAACATAATGTCCTTCTCCAGGGACTGGTCCCTCCTGATAACACATCCAAAGTACATAAGATAAAGTCTCACCATCCTTCCTTCTAAGAAGCATTCTGGCTATACTTCTCCCAAGACAGATTGGTTCATTCTTCTGGCAGTACGTGGTATATTCAATATTCTTCGTCAACACCATAATTCAGAGGCATCAATTTTTCTTCAGTCTTCCTTATTCACTGTCCAGCTTTTGCATGCATATGAGGCCACTGAAAAGACTATCGCTTGGGTCAGGCACACCTTAGTCCCTTAAAGTGACATCTTTGCTTTTTAACACTCTAAAGAGGTCTTTTGCAGCAGATTTGCCCAATGCAATACATCTTTTGATTTCCTGACTGCTGCTTCCATGGGCATTTATTGTGGATCCAAGTAAAATGAAATCCTTGACAACTTCAATCTTTTCTCTGCTTATCATGATGTTACTTATTGGTCCAGTTGTGAGGATTTTTGTTTTCTTTATGCTGACATGTAATCCATATTGAAGGCTGTAGTCTTTGATCTTCATCAGTAAGTGCTTCAAGTCCTCTTCACTATCAGCAAGCAAGGTTGTGTCATCTGCATATTGCAAGTTGTTAATGACTCTTCCTCCAACCCTGATGCTGCATTCTTCTTCATACAGTCCAGCTTCTTGGATTATTTGCTCAGCACAGTATGTACAATATAGAAGTATGGTGAAAGGATACAACCCTGACACATGTCTTTCTTGATTTTAAACCATGCAGTATCCCTCTTGGTCTATGTACAGGTTCTATATGAGCACAATTAAGTGTTCTGGAATTCCCATTCTTCACAATGTTAATCATAATTCGTTATGATCCACACAGTAGAATGCCTTTGCATAGTCAATAAAATACAGATAAACGTCTTTCTGGTATTTTCTGCTTTCAGCCAGGAACCATCTGATATCAGCAATGATATCCCTCGTTCCACATCCCCTTCTGAATCTGGCTTGAACTTC